GAGCCAGGCTTAGAAAGCAGAGTGGCACCGCAATGAGAAGCCCACGCACCACAACGAAAAGTAGCCCCCGCTCGATGCAACTAGAGAAAGCCCGCATGCAGCAACGAAAACCCAATGCAGCCAAAAGTAAATAAATAAATTAAAAAAAAAAGGCAGAGTGACAGGTTGCCCGGGCGTAGGAAGGACACTCAGCCCCGACTGAAAGTTATGTGATGAGAAGCACGGAAGCAGTGTTGCGAGGATTCTTGATGAGTTTTTCGCAAAGAAACAAAACACTTTTTCTCAGTGCTTAAAATCACAGTGTACTAAAAAAAATAGCTTTACTGGGCTTCCCTGGTGGCTCAGTGGTTGAGAGTCCGCCTGCCGATGCAGGGGTCACGGGTTCGTGCCCGGGTCCAGGAGGAACCCACATGCTGTGGAGGGGCTGGGCCCGTGAGCCATGGCCGCTGAGCCTGCGCGTCCGGAGCCTGTGCTCTGCAATGGGAGAGGCCACGACAGTGAGAACCCCGCGTACTATAAAAAAAAAAAAAAAAATAGCTTTACTATTTTTACTTTTCTAAACGTTAGAGTGGATCGTGTTAAGAGGGTTCTTAACGTTTTCAAAAAATATGTAACGGCTGCAGGAAAAGTCATATTTTGCCTTAGATTATGACGGTTGGCTTTGCAGTTCTAGCATGCATGGTCGCCTTGGTGGGCCTGCCCCACCGTACAGGCCTCGTCCGCCTGTCATTATTTTTTCAACTTGCTTGTTTTTCATTTGTCTGCTCAGTTGAATGCAAGGTCCGTGCCTCAGAGACACCCTGAGTGGAAGACCATGACATTTTATTTCTTCCAGTCTTACTGAGATAGAATTGACATACAGCCCTGTATAAGTTTAAAGGGTGCAGCATCGTGAGTTGACTTAACATGCATCATCTCATATGGATACAAAATTACACAGAAAACACGTTTTTCCCCTGTGATGAGAACTCTTAGGATTACTCTCTCCATGACTTTCATACGTAACCTACAACAGTGTCAGTTATACTTACCCTGTTGTACATCATCTCCCTAGTATGCACTTCTAACTAGAAGACGACCATGACATTGTCACTGGGCTGTTCCTCCCCAGAACAGCAGTGGATGGTCTGCTGCAGGCACTCTGTAAATGTTTTGAGTAAATCGAGGGTTGCCGATAGAGGGGGAGTCTGGGTATGGGGGCGAGGGGACCAGCTGGGCGGGAGACCTCCCTGTGAGCGCGTCCCCTCTGCCTGGTGCCTCCTGCCAGCCCTCAGCACAGGGTGGGCTGTCCCCTCAAAGGTGGAGCCAGTGCTCCCCGAGTCCTGAGGCTCACCGACCCTCCTCCAGTGGAAAAAGGTCCAGTGCAAAGGGCCGGACAGCCCAACGCACCTGGTATCACTCTGATCCACAGTAAGCTTACGGCTTCATGTTGGAGATTTGGGGTCAGCTGATGACAGGGATGCAACACCAGCCCCCTCTTCTCTCCTCCTCTCTCCAAAAGCACAGTTCCCACCATCTCAGGCAATAACGAGGTTGACCGTGCAAAGTCCTGAGAAGCATCCTCTCCGGGGCCAAAGGCCAAGACTGGGGCCTCCCCTTCTCTCTGAACCTCTCTCATCTTTGTGCCTAGGGTCAGTGCTCCCTCTCTGTCCCTTGGAGTTGACAAGGGGGACAGCCACTGGCACCTCCCCCAGGCCAAGGCAAACAGAGCCAGATCCTGGGGACACTCCCAGTCCCCAAGTGCCCTTAGTGGTCCCAGACATGGCTTCAGCATATAAAGGACACAGCTCTGAGAGCCAGGAAACCAGGCCCCTGGCTCTGCTGCCATTTCCCTCCTCCCCCCTCGTCCTGGGCCATTCCCCGCCCAACCAGCCTGGAGTGGGCCCTCAGCCTCCCGCACCCCTACTTGCCTCTAGAAGCACTTCCCTCAGGATTAACTGGCTGGACCCAGGGTGACCTGGATGTCAGATGTGTCCTCACTGGGGAGGAAGAAGTGGGGAGACTTGCTTGTTTCGGTCTAGATGTCATTGGATGTGAAGTGGAACCACATCTTGCCAAGTGCAGGAAGAGGCAGAGAGGGCTGACAGAGACCTTCGATTTTTCAAGAGGCCCAGAGGGCAAAATATTCCAGGGCAAGAAGAGATCTGACTGCAGAGGGCAAGGAGACGTACCAGATCCTGAGTAGGATCTTGTCTGCTCGAGGCTGGGTCAAGAGAGCCGAAGGAGGAGAAGCCAGCATCGGCCTGGCACCCAGGGCCTCTGTCAGCCTCGTGCCTCTGAAGACCAGCAGGGTTGGGGTCTTCCTCTGGAAGCCAGGAAGGGTCATCTTCCAGCATTTCTGGTGCTTCTTTGAATGCAGAAAAGTAGCTGGCCTTTTCTTTACCTTCTTCTACACTTGTTATGTCAGAAGAATTGGGGAGAAATCCGTGATTTCTGTTGATGCCAGTGGAAGGATGTCCGGTCCCCCACCCTCCCCGCATCGTGGCCACACCCCAGGCTCTGGGAGAGGTGGGCTGACTTGCCAGGGATGCAGAAAGAGGGGGCTGCGCCGTCAGCACAGGCCAGGAGCAGGAACCCGGGGACACACATGCATTCTAAAGACTCCAGGAAGGCCCTGGGGGCAGATGCTTTGCGATCCCAGTAGAAATTCTGTGACTGGAGATGGGAAGGGGGACAGGACAGCCCCCCACCATGAGCTCAGAGGCTGCTCTGGCCTGTGCAGCATGAGAACAGGTGACCAGGACGTGGTAGAAACGTCCCCCCAATTGGCTCATGCCTGGGCCTTGAGAGTCGTCCTGGGCCAGTCCTGACACTGGGCAGGAAGGACAGGTCTTCCTGCAGCTGTGCCCCTGGTCCTTCTGCCTCCGGACAAACAGGCTCTGCATGTAGGTGCAGGTGGACAGGGGAATGTCCCCTGCTCGCTGGGGAAGAATGTTCGGCTTATACTTCCCATTTTTACATCATTCGAAGGCAGTGGTTGCTCCTGCCTCCTTGGATCTCCTGGATGCTGGGTTCCCATGGAAAGATCCCAGGCTTGGATGTCTGCCATTTCCTGTTTCCCCGAGGTCCACGTGAAGTCAGTCATCTCTTCCTAACGCTCTGTGGGGCAGATCCATCCACACCCCTCCCCCAAGCAGGTCTTCTGGTTACTCCCTGAGCGGAGCATGGCAGTGTCCACCCCTGGCCAAGTCCCCGGCTCACCAGGCTGAAAAGGAAACGAACTGAATTTCAGCTTTTCTCTGAAGGTTATTTGAGGTGCTGGGTGAAAAGTGCGAGCACCACTCAGTGGCTGCTCCAGAATCAGGAACATTCTGCTTAACTTACTAATCTCGACTTCCTGCAGGTGATCAGTCAAGGTGATGGTCTGGGAGTTGAGTGTCCATAGAGCACATTCTAGCTTAACCCTGTTTTAGGCAAACTGCTGATAGGGACGGTAGAAATTTGGAGAAAGCAGTCTCTGGGAAATTACTAAACCGGAGAGCATCCTTCAGACAATGCTGCCACCTCGCCCACAGAATAGAATTGTCGGGGCGCCACAATGCAGGGGGTGGAGAGGTTCCCTCAGCCTGTGTTCTGAAACCTCAACAGAACCAACGTGTGAGCCAGCCCAGCAGGGGCATCGCCCCCAGACCCTTCAATACCGAGCAGAGCTTCACGTCCCCTGAGGAGAAGTTCGGTGTTAGAGTAGCTATGCTTAACGCAGAGCAAGAGAAAAGCTGAATTTTGTTTGTGGGCCTAATGGCACTCTCGCATCAGAAACCCTGTAAGTGAAAGCCTTAGGGGAGGGGTCGGGGGGCTTTTTGAAGCCGCTTTGCATTCCTTGTTTCCTAGGATTGAGGAAATGTTAAGTTATCCACAAACACTGGGAAGGGGCCTTTGAAGGTCATGATGAGGGTTGAAGCTGCTGGACAGAGCCTGGGCTGGGATGTGGAAGAGGACGCCTGAGCCTCGGGGCAAGTCCTCTTCTGGTTGCAGCCCTTTGCTGACACCGATATGTGTGCTTGGCCCACGTTTATTTCCCTCCCTGCCTCCAAGAGCCCAAAGAGCCCACGGCCCTGACCCCCTCAGTGGCTTTCAGGCTGAGTAAGGTGTGTCCCAGGTTTGGCCACCAGCACAGTTCCGGCCTCTCCCAGCCCACATGCCTACATTTCATCTTGTCAAGCCAATTTGCATATCCCCGCTTCTGGGAGGAAACACCCTTTGCCTCCAGGGACAGAGGGAGGAAGATTGAGTCTTGGGTTTGCCTTGGCTTTAAGGGATCCACCAGGTCCCCCCGTAGCCACTCCTGCTGGCAATTTCTCAGGCCCATCCTGACAAAAGTCTCTGAATTCCTCCAAACACAACACACTTTCCCTGGTCTTGGGTAATTTCCTTGGTCTCGTTACAAACGCCCAGCCCCTCCCTCTTCCCAGCCAGCTCCTAGTTGTAATTTTGACCTGACCTCCTTTGGGGAAGCCTTAACCCTCAAAATCTGGAGGACCCGCCATCCCTCAGTGTCACCTCTGTTCCCCCATGAACGGGCACACGTTTTGCAGTTTTAGGTTACGTATAAGTGACTGTGTGGTTCTCAGGAATTTTGTTATATTTCTTTTTCCTTTGGGGTGACACCACTAGGTCTGCACAAAGCTGTCTTAACTCAGACATTGGGATGGTTTTGACGTGGCCCATGCTCTTCGAGCAAATATGCTTGCAGGTTGGTTTTCTTCTTTTATCTTTTGCTTTCACGAGTGGACAGAGGATCCTATCAGTTGTGTGTAAGGAGAAAGTCAAATCAGCGTTAGCTGGATGGATTTCCAGTAATAAGATTCCGCTTTCCATTTGAAATGGAAATTTCAGCTGGGATCTGAAAAGTGTGGCCAGGAAGGCCTATCGTGGCTTCTCAGGAGCCAGAGGAGGGACTCAGAGGCCTGAGCACATTGCTCCTTGCACCACACCCGCCCTGGCATCTGGGGCCTCGGGCCCTGACCACTGCCCCAGCCAGGGTCTCCACAGGACAGGCCATGCAGGCCAAGGTCCTGTAGAGAATTTTTCTTCGCCTTCTGTACACATTTGCAGTAGCAGGCTTTGCTTTTGCTTCTATGTGAAGTTTTGCCTTAATCCCAAACGTTTTGATTTCTGCTCTGGTTT